AGCCGCCGCAGCTCGGCCGGCCGCGCAGGTGTCCCTCAGCGCAGCCGCTGCCTCCGCCCCGCCTCCCCAACGGCCTTAACGAGTAATGTAGTGAAAGCGGTGCTTGATAGGCCTTAAACCGGGGGGGGGAGGGGGGGGAAGTAGGAGGATGAAGGTAGCAATAGCGAGCCGTGCACCTGGGGGTGTGATAGCATCACTCCCGAGGGACTGTGAGGCACAGGTGGCGCCTGGCAAGGCGCTCGGGTGGGAGCCTGCGTGTAGCAAAAGGCCTAAAGCTCACTGGAAGCGACACGCAGCAGAGACAGCTTTGGTTTCCATCCAGTTCCTCAGGAAACTGGAGAAAACGGAGACGTTACTTAAAACTGTGCTTGCAGGAGTTCTTCAGTACTTGGTGTGAGGCTGGTTCAGTAGCAGCTCTGTCGCTGGCGTCTTTGAGAGCAAAGCTCAAGTCCTGGTTAATGAGGTAGTGGTGATGTTTTGGCTGTGATCCTGAGGCCTTACGGAAGCGAGATGACAAATGTTGTTGAGTGCTTGGAGGGGACGGTTCAGTAAATTAGTTAAAAACCTGAAGCAGGGCTTCAGAGATATGGTTTTAAATTGACCAGGAATTACTGGCTGTGCTAGTAGACATAGAAGCAGTGTTCAGTACTGTGCCTGCGTATCATTCAATATCAATCATATTAGTATGCTGTGAGAGAATAATAGTATTTCCCTTGATATATTTTCCTCAAAATGTCATCAAATTTGCTTTGTGTGCTATATAATAAACTTGAATTTTTTTTAAAACCTTACTGTTTTATATCGTCTATATTATAGAAAAGGAAAGTGGTAGAATGTGAACTTGTTGTAGCGTAAAGTTAAACCGTGGTATGTTGAAAAAGTTTCAAAATCTGACTAAGACCACAAGTGAAAATGAGGACGAAAAATACTTATTTCACTTTTAGCGCTCCAGGAGAATTAGGAGCCTCTAAAGAAATCTTACGCTTTTTCCTTTTCTTTCTGGAAAGTTAAAGCACTTTCGGTCTGAGCGTGTTTAAAAACTGGTAAGGTGGTGCTCTGCCTGTTCACGTAAAATGAAAGAAAACCTTACAGGTGTCCTGTAGCAGCCTCTAGTGGCCAGCTGTAATGTTTACATGTGTTAATTTTTAAGTTGGCTGACAATTTAAATGATCAGTTCTGCCCTTTTAAGAGACTCATTTTTTGGAGATTTGTGAGTGGTCTAACAGTAAGGACTAACTTTTTTTTTTTCCCTCACTTAAAAGAGTGCAAAAAATATTCCCCTGCTTCATTACTTCTGAAGAGCTTTGTTAGGGTTTATGAAACAAACTCTGAAATATTTACACTCATGTAACTCACACAGGCTCCAAAATAATGTAGGGACAATTGAGGTAAAATTAATACTGCTGAAGTGAATATCCTAGAATATAGAATATACATATATAGAATATATGAAGAAAAATGTATTGAAAATATCTTTAAGGATAAACTCAAAAATGGTTTCTTAAAGTATATAAAGGGGTATTGTTCTGTGTAGAGAGATTTGAGAAAACGCTATGAGAAGGATGTAGCAGCTTAGAGGATGTGTGGCACAGGAAAAGGTGTATAAATTTTGGAAACAAAGTGACAAAGCGTTGTGTGGGTGTGCTTTAGGCAAATGTTACAAACCTTTTTTTTTTTTAAAATTTGTTCAACGGTCGTTCTGAAAGACACAGATTGCTTATCAAGTTGCATTATCTCTTATTGGAATGAATGTTTTCTTCTACCATTTCAAGGATTTGCACACTGGATTGGGATCTCAAGTTATGTATCCAAAGAACAGTGTGCCTAAATACGTCTTGAAAAGCCTGTATTTCTAAAAATAGATCTCTCAAGGTAGGTACCCAAATACAGGGTCCTTGGTGGGAGCGGAGAGGAAAAGAAAAAAAAAATCTTCAGTTTTTTTTTTTGTGAATATCTTATTTTTGGATCTGTGCATGTTTTTTGATGAACCTTTTTACTTATAATTTCTTGAGAAGGCAAATGAGTAGGAAAAATTCCTTAGAGTTTACTGTATTGTTTTTATAAAGTTGTTGATCTTGAGCTAATGTTTCAAAGTTTATTTGAATATATGACCAGTTTAAGGATCCCTCTACAGGCTTTGTTTCTGTGTATAAATTATTCTTGTTTTCTATGCTACTCTGGTGTAGTATAAACTGTTCTCACAATGAGTGAATGTATGTTGTAAGTCAAACTCTGAAGGATTTCTGTTTCAACTTAACTGCAAAAAAGGTTAATTGCATAACAAATTTGTTTGTAGTTGTTGGATTCACATTAGGTATTTCTATGCTAATCAGTTGAAATAAATAAATTTGTTGTAATGAGTATTGCAATGAAGCAAGGTAGCTTTTTCTAGTTGACTTGTTGCAGCCCTAATCAAGCTATAGGGAGCCTATTCCTCCTTCCCCTGCTCCCCCAAAGGGGAGGGAGGGAATTACAGACAGAATCTCATTTCTATGTTAGAATGATGAAAATCTGTCAATTCTGCCAACTCTTGCTTAAGTCCTCTTTTAAATCTGCACTACCTGAAAATACCTTTGTCTATGTATGTTTATTTAAAATTAATGTTTCTCCCTTTTCCTTAAAAAAAAAAAAAAAGTCTATGGTAGTTCTAACTTTCACGTTATTTTTCCTGATGCTTAAAAGAACTTTGATTTCAGTGTTTTGTAAACTGTCCAACCTCGAAACTATTCTGCTGTTCTACAAGAACTGAATAGTGCAAATGTTGATACTTAGTGTCACTAGCTTGTATGTAAAAACCTCTGCTATTTCTCCTAGACTCTGTATTTCTGTTATAGTTTGAGGGCATGGTTTTAACTGCTGATATAACATATAAATAATTCTATTAACAAGAACATTTTGAGTACATACAGCTTTAGGCATAGAAACTGACGTTATAAAGTGTTTGTGAAGTTGGGATCTGAAATAAAAGTAACACAGAACTGAGAAGGGTCGATCTCTTGCAAATATTTTTAGCCACACCAACAATGTAGTAAACCCCCTCAGAGTCAGATGAGGCCCTGAATTGTGTGGGTGGGAGGCGGGGCAGAAGGGGGAACCCAAACAAAAAACCATTTCTTCCCTTTGCGGGGGGGAAGAGTTTGATCAGTTTTCTACTTATAAACCAGTTGTTTTGAAGCATTAATGTGAACGATGGATATTTGCAAGATGTCGGAAGTACTGTAAAGAAACAATTTGAGAGCCTAAGGAATGTTTTAGAAAATCGGGAATGAAACTTTGACGTCTCATGATGTGCATGTTATGTTTTTGTGAGGATGAACAGACAAAAAGATGCAGTTAAGTGAGAAGGCTTAATTTAGGGAATAAATGGAATAACTGACAAACGCTAGAGTATTTAATTGTCAGGCTTCCTTCACTCTCATCTGGAAACCTTTGGATGATGAGCATATTGTCTGGAAACGTGGGTTTTACAGAAGGCTGTTGTAGGGATTAACAGAACACGGTGTCTAAGATGGTATGCCTTACATGCTTCAAATTGAAGGACAGGATAGATGAGAAAGGGAAACACCGAAATGAAGTATGAAAATAATAATTGTAAAGTCAGTCTTGAGTTCTGAGGTCAAAAGGTAATAAATTCATATGGAAAGATATTTTACTTGAATTCTTCAGTGTCTCTTTTAGTGAAACTTTTGGAGGGGAAGATGAGCAAGACTTGACATTGAAAAGGTCATACTTGTCTTTCACTACAGAGCTGTGCCCCAACTTGCAATCTTGCCAAACTTGCAAAGATGTTGCTATGCTGACTCCCTGCCACTGCTCTGTGCTTCTGCAGGCTGCCTGCTTTGCCTTGCTCCTTTCACATTAACATTTGCCCATGGCTTTCCCAAAAAACTTTGGGCTTCTGTACGCAGGCTGCTGGTCTTCAATTATGTTCAAATATAAGGGAAAAATGTGATAAAGGAATATGTGAGCCAGCATGTGGAGGAGGTCATGCAGTAAAGACTAGGGTGCTAATATATGGAACGCAAATAGGGTGAGACACCGTCTTGTTCAGAGAACTAAGCAGGAACAGAAGATATGCTGTGAATGCGTTAGCACTATTGTTGAGAGGAGATGCAGTCCTCTCCTTTTTGTGCTAAGGCAAGGATTTATGTTGTGAATTCAATTGGTTAACTGAACTACAGTGAAGTTATGTTCCCTGGCCCCCTTCTCCCTGAGGTTATTTCCAGTTGGATACGTTCTCCAGTCTGTTTCACTCTGCAGTTGTACAGACAGCTGTGCTAGTCCAAGAGAGACTTTGGCATGGGAGGAATGGCTAGGAGCAGAGGAGGACTTTCTGCAGCAGTACTGGTTTAGTGTTTTGTGCAGTATTTTGTGACTGTGGAGACCTCTTGTTCTTCTAGCTGCTACTTCTGTGTTGGCTGTTTTTGTAGTGTAACCTGATAACATTTTTTTGCCTTCTTGATCCTAAGTATTTTGAAAAAAAGGATACTTGTAGTTACAAGCAAATTCGTAAAGGTGCTGCAGCACAGCTGAATAGCTGTTACACAGAAGTGAGTGACTTTTCCTCTCACCTTAAAACTAGGTGGTTGTGTGCTCTTTGAAAACAGGTATTAAGATAGGTAGGCAGGCCTTCCCTTCATGTTCTTAACAAAAAATTATATTTGATCTTTCTCTGAGGTAACAGCAGCTGTCTGCTCTTTGTAATCTTCTACCTACCTACTAGCGTTGTAGCACTCCCCCATTTTGCTAGCAGAGTTCAGGAAGCTGCAGATAATTGTCCATTTCAAGAAGTGTAATAAAACCTAGAGAAATGCTTTGAAAATGCGGATGGATAACTTCTGTGTCTCTGTCAGCAATGCCCCAGTTGTCTCCAGGAATCCTTTTATTTCCTGGCTGTGTTAATATCAGAGTCGGTCAGCAGCTGAAAAACAAATGTCTATCATGTTCAGATGAAGTGTTCCAATCTTTCAAAAATCAAATGTAAACTCATGGTATTTCAACAGAGACTGTTTACAGTTTCATATATCATAAATGATAATGAATTTGAATTACTGGGTTAGCAAAGACTGCTGTAGGGACAAAAGGAGAAATTTGTACTACTATACTCAGGCTGCAGTAGCTGATATTTTAGTTTTTGTCCAATGTACACTTGGGAAAATGCTTTCTATATTAGCACACTGTAACTATGCCCAGTAGAAGAAGAGGTAAAAAAGGAGGTGATTTGTTTTCATAAAAGCTTTTTAATATACTTCAAAGTATCCTTGATTAAATACCATATATACTTGTACTACCAGTTTAGAATTTCAATGCTGTCTTGAAAGTGATAGGATCCATCCTTTTAGTGGTTTTTTTTCCTGTCTTTTTCAACTTGGTTATTAGAGTTTCTCGAATAGTTTGCTCATTTGATCAGTGAGGAAATTGAAGGTTTTTTTCCTTGTACTAGTTTATGGTGAAGCTGTTTTCACTAAAAGCATCTGTTCTTCAGATGGAATTTCCTAATAATGTAGTCTGTAATGGTGTGTAAGTACTGTTGGAGCAGAGGCAAAATCCTTCTGAATATTTGCATGGGACTTGGAAAGACATATAAGGTAACGGGTGGGGAATTTCCCTTTCGGAGAGTAAGTGCTGAATGTGCTGAAGTCCCACCAGCAAGCATGAAGTGTTTTACCAGAACACCGATGCTGTGTGTTGCGTGGAAATGTGTTAGGACCTTGGAGAGCAACCATCTGCTGGGAATGGAAAAACCTAGCGCCTTCAGTCACACTTCTATAAATATTCTAACAGGACACTGATCATTACTTCCCCTTTTTGTTAACAGATTACTCTTTTGATGTGTGTTTTTAGTAGTGAAGTGTGTAGTATAATCTCTCTTTAAAAAAACAATCACATCTCAATTGCAACAAGGTAATTTGGATTACTTTCATTATCAAAAAAAAAAGGGGATATGTTTACTGCAGGCTTTAAATGGGTTTTCATTCTCAGTAGGAAACTTCAGTTTACAGAAATGTTGATATAGAAGTAGGTTAGTTAAGCTTTGTAGGTGAAGATTTTCAGATGGTTAGCATAATTGATTGAAGGAGTGCTTTTGAGCCCATAAGTCCTTAAAAAACAAGAACAAAACTATTTTTTTAAAGGGTGGGAATCCATGAATTGATTTTCTGACTTCTGTATTTCTTTGCTATTTTTTAAAATATTACCCTATGTTTAGAAGGTCTTCCTGGAGTTCCTTTCTCTTTCCATGAGCCTGAAAATTTTGCAAAATCAGCATTCAGAGGCTTATATACAACATTCAGTAGATAAGTGGCTTCATACTGTTAGACTTATTTTTTGAATTTTGGTAACAAAGACAATGAGAAAATATGACTTAAAATATGACAAAACTTGTATGGCAGCTTTTTTTTTGTAATGCTTTCCTCTCTCCTATTAGCTCCTAAGGAACATGCTTTAAGCACTCATTTTTTGTCTAAGCTCTTTTCTGTGTGTACAGAATACATTGCAAAATAGAGCTGAAGGTCATTCTTTTTCCATCCTTTTGTGTGTGCTTTACTTCTGTATTTGCTATGTTACTTTGAAGAGTTTATCCCTGCTCCTTATTATTGATAAAGGGAGGAACTGCACTGCTTGTATTGTTGCAGGTGTTTTACTGCATAGTACACATCTTAAAAAATATCTCAGGGGCTTTGAGGCCTGGATTGTCAAGTAGAACTCCAATGAGACAGCAAGAGTGCTGTGGCAAGCTGTCTTCCATATACTTATATTCTTATAAGTGCTCATTAATCCTTGATCCTAATAGATTTGGAAGCAAGTGTACTGGGCTTCATTAGATACTCCCAGGCTGACATTCTTCCCTCCAAAATATCCCATATTACTGG